TTCGCTAGGCGTCTTCGGGGGGGAATCCGTCTTCGGAGTTGGGGGCGTCTTCGGGGAATCCGTCTTCGCTAGGTGTCTTCGGGGTTCATCAAACATACACAGCTGCGGCGAATCCGTCTTCGTTAGGCGGATGCGTCTGCGGGTGAAAAAGTGCCCCCGCCAGGGCGGCTGCAATGCAAGATGGAACTTGCAAAGCCAAGCCGAAAAAATACCGTAGTGCAAAGCATGTAGCATGTTCCAAAGTGCACAGTACATCACAGTACCATACACAAGTACTGAGTTGGATTGATGGTTCTCGATTCTCAATCATTCAATCGCTCATCTGATGATTAATTTGACATCGTGAGCCTCATGACGCAGAAGAAACGTCCACCCTTGTTAAGGACAAAGGGAATTGCCTGTGCTGACACATCTGGCCATGCAATTTGCCAGCCTAGCCTCACTTTCCTGCGGTTGGTACGTTTCCGTTTGTAGGATTGATCATGACGGAATCCACCACATCTAAGGACTTGAATGAAAGTTAAGGCTTTTGGCACTTCGTGGACCTACCGTCCACTGTGCAAAACTTGGCCAAGTCATTGTGGGACGTTTAAAAACCTCGACATTGGCCATCACTTCACCAATTGGAACGCTGCAGCTGGCACTCCTCAGAAACTATGCCCTCACACTTGGCTCAAAACATGGAGACTCCAGCTGCAGCAACTTGCTGATGGATTCAGCCATTTGTCAATTTGTGCAACAAACGGCTGCTGGAAACGTTCCATCATACTTGAGAAAGTCTTTTGAAACCGGGAGCGTGCACACGCTGCGTCAGCTTTCGAAACGCACCGCTGTTCTCGGCTTTCAGGATCTAGTAGGACTCTTCCGAATACCGTCCCGCAGCCACAAAGTCCTGAGCCCAAACAAAAGCTGGCAACGCTGTACTAGATCTCTGAAATCCAAATCCATGATCTCTGTCCTTGAACCATTTATCAGCCTCTGGCTCCGATGTTGGCGCCTCACGCTAAGCGGCTAAGCAATCAGAGCCAAACGATTCCCACTGAAACGTTTCCCAAGGAAGCTTCTAGTTACTAGAACGCTTTATTGTTACTAGGAAGCTTCAAAGACATACTGAAAACTTATTGTTACTTTTTGAGCCACAAACAGACTCTGAGGATTGCACGCTTTGGCCACCGCATTGCACCAGCGCTGCCTTGAGTGCTTTCTGCACCGAGGGTGTTGCAACAGCTGGACCACACATGAAGAAGTAGCCACCCTGGCCAGAACAAAATTCAATCTGCGCTCCACTGATCCACACTCTGCTAAACAGGCCTTTTTCAGCAGATTGTCGCTGATAAGCTCAGGCTGCTCGGCCATCTTGTCAGACACGAAGATCTGCTTTGGCGGATAGTGTGGCTTGTCAAACCTCCGCTGAATCCGAAGCTTGCAATGGGCCCAAACATACCTGACATCATTGGGCTGAGCTCCAGCACTGGAATGCTCCAACCAGTTTTGTGAGAACTCCCTCCTTTTCGAACATCCTGAGTTGACGGCTGAGAAGAGCAGGTGAGTTGTAAGCGTCGAGTCACCTAGCACCGACACAAGGCCAAGTTTCTTCCACTCATCCTTGTAGAGAAGCTCCTCCTGAAGGCAAATTGGTGTCGGCCCTGGGGAAAGTTGCTGCGCTCTTCTTCTTGTTTAGTTTAAATTATGACAGCTGCAAGATGTTCCGACCCAAGGTCAGGATTACAAAGACTCTGTACAAACATATATATATATATACATGCGTCCTCCCTCAAACCGGCCCAATTAGCTATAGCTCTTGTTGTTAGGGTTTACAGTATCAGTAGTCCGATAATTGCACAACGCTTTCATATATTCGGCAGGTGTGCGTTCTCCTGCTCGTGCCGGCAGCCATAGAACACAACCATGGGTCCAGTGCTGATGCCATTCTGCTTCTTGTAAAGCTTGTCCTGCTTGGAATATGCATGTGCAGTCCGAACCAAAACCAAACCTGTGAAACAAAAATTAAACCTTGACATTGTTGTTTTCTCCCCTGCATCCACACTTGCACGATCACAAAATTGCACAAGCAATGGAAAAGGAACGGCTTTAGTGGAAATAAGGCCTGTCCTGCATAAAGGACCGAATCGGGGCCTCAGGCAGTTGAGAAACTCTACAAACGCAAGTGTGCACTTGGCATCTTGCCAAGCCACAATGCCAGTCCCTAAACCAACCATGACCATGGGCGTGGTGTCCTTTTCCGGAAACTGGAAGGTGCCGCAGACCACCGCGCATGCAACCTCCCAGCAGGTTTGCACATGAGACGGCAAAACATGGAGACAAAGCTTCACTGCGCAGGATGTTTGGCCGAGCCTGCTTGCCCACTGGCATGTCTTGGATGAACTTCGTGCATGTGCCTGTCCAAAAGGCAAATGCTCAATGACTTGTGACAGTTGCCAATGGCAAAAGGCAGCCAAACCAAACTTCTGACGACCCAGAAGATGGAGGGTGCAGGGACGAAGAGACTAAAGAACCAGATCAGTTCAGATCATGGAGGAGCTTGTGTTTCGGGATGGACCCAGATTTTTGAGATCACGAGTGGGCTTACGGTTGATTGATCTGGTCAGCCCTGACCGCAAGGCGCTGGACTGTACAATGGATTGAGCTACAGTATCTGCCGGCCGGCATACCACGCAGCCAGATCCAAAAGCCTCAGGTTCTTGTTTCGATGTCTCCATGGCCCTCTTATGCGTTAGATACACTCCCAGATCACCCGGAAACTTCCGACACCAAACCTTGGGCTCTTTTGAACGTGGAGGGCCAACAAGAAGTAGGTTTCAGTCAGACCATCCCGCATGCTCAGACTTTGGATGGCCCTGCATTCTCTGTCGATCCTGGTAAATGGCTTGCCAAACTACTCCAAAGTGTTGAGGCGTAGCCTATTCAAAATGCTGATACAGGCGATCTACATACAGATTGGCATGCCTGGCAGTGCCAACAATGGACGGAGGCTACCAAAACGGTTGCACGATTTTCTCAGGATCTCACTTGCTGCACACAAACATGAACACAAACACATGTGACATCCAAACGACGTTGTTGAACATAGATATGTGTGGCGTTTGGAAGGATCAAAGTTGTCCTTGCAGCCGAGCCTGTCTTCAACTCACCTGTCTTGGCCTTCCATTGGTTGATGACAATGGTGAATTCGACAGCCTTGGGGCCTCAGAGCCGAGACCAACACTGCCTTTGAATCCAGAGGATCAGCACAACAAACAGATTCAAATTGAATAAACCAGTCAATGGGAAAACATTGACACAAACAGAGTCTCTGTTTTTCCTTTGACGCAAGCAGGCACGCAGTATTTGCTGATTTCCAGTGCTTCGAGCTGGCTGTATCTTGCATCAGAAGCAATGGAGTAAATGCCTCAGCTTTGAGCACTGCTGTCATGGTTTTCCTCACCAATAGCTGTCATAGCTTGCTTGGTACATCCTAATCTTGGTCAAAGTTGCGAGGTTTGATGGGAGGCAGAATCGAAAGTAGCTGCTCCAGTGGCATTTTGGCGCTTGGGAACTTCCTAAAGCGGAAGAAGACAAAGGAGCGAAGTTCATGTCCAGATGTCTGAGGCCCATGCTTCATAAGGTCAAAGTAGGTAGGACACTGTTCGCAAAGCACCTCAGCAAAGCGCAGAAAAAACACAAGTCAACGTCAAGCCGATGTCAAGCCCACATGATCAACAGTCTCAAACAGACTAACTGACTGCCCTCGCAAAGCAATGTGTACTCTTCCTTCCTGCTGATGTTGCTTGCGGCGTATGCATTGAAACTGTCAAAGGTAGCACGCGAACGGACCGCTCCCCTTTTTCCAGGGAGATCTTTGGGCCACTATGGGCCAGTGCGGTAAACATGGCTTCAGGTGCAAAATGTCTGACATCCCACCAAAGGACCAAATACAATGCCGGTCCTTTCAGACTTGGCCCGTCCTGGCGAACTGTTCTACGTGTCGCTGCCAGTCCGCTTCCCATTGCGCGGACATCACTGCCACACAAAATGCAGCAAATCCCTTTCTGCACTCGGTATCCCATCCTAGTGCATGATCAAACCGGATGAAAGGATACCACTCACCAAACTTTGCTGTCAAACGGGCCTGTGCATATTGCGTCATCTGTGAACGCGAAAAGAGTCCAGTGCTTAAAAGTCTCCTGGCTCTTCTTTCCTCATCTTCACTCAAGTACCGGATGCAATTCTCCAGCTTGTTCCAATCAAGAGCTTCTGGGGGTTCATCTCTGTCATAGTCTTGCCACAGGTAGTTGTCATCAGGCAAAGTCGTGCCTTCTGCAATGGTCACATCCTCATAGGCCAAACCTTCATCCACACCCATCAGCTCTGTCCCAGCTTCCTCATCTCGTTCAGAAGCGGTAGGCCTGTAGTGCCTTCTGTACCCATGAGTTGGGCTCAGCGTGAAAAATTCTTCACCACTTGCGGCATCGTCACCAGATTCCAGGATCCGGTAAGGCCTTAGCCTTTGCAATTCTGGATCCCAGTCAGTGAGGTAGTTCTCCACGGTGACACCACCTCTCGTTGCTTCTTGCTCTGACTCTTCTTGTCCTTCGGATCTTAGTCTTCTCCTTGATGTTCCTCGGCTCTCACGGGATGCTTCATCCTCCTCATCAAAGCTTCCTTCTGGTCCTTCTCTCTGGCGTCCCAGTCTTGATGCTCCACGTCTCCTCCTCAATGGTGCGGGGAATGGAGGTGATGGCGCGCGAATCCATTCTCCGCCAATGGCTTCCACAGACTATCTTACTGCCCACTCTCTCAGGTCCAAACCTGACCTGGTAGGCTGTCATCATCTTCTCGATGAAAATCTGTGAACCAGTCAGTCTGAATGTAAGACTTCAACTTCCTGCGCCACCAGAAAACTTTCTTCCACTTCGCATAGCCAATGTAGACGCCAAAGCCGAACACCATGATCGTGTACAGTAGGAACGCCATGATGTAGTAGCTCCATTTGTAGCCACCAACCTTCTGGTTGTCGAACTCTTCAAGGTTGTAGCTTTCATTGCTTCCATCCTCATGTACTCTGTACACTCGAGGTTGTAGTAAGAGCAACGTCACCATCTTTACCATGGACTTTGAGATCTTCACCTTCGTCTCGCTGTTCTCTTCTACGGTCGACCTGACCATCTCATTCTTTACCTCCTTCATTTTCCTCGCCAGGTCTTTCTTTCCAAGTTCTTCGTGAAAGGCATCTTCTCCAACATGACAGAAAAACTGGTCAGCACCTTCCACATGCATTTCCATCACACCAACCAGGTGCATTAAGAACTCTCTCCTCTGTCTCCAAAGCCTCTTTGCGCCAAGGTCAGCCAACCTTTCTGCAAAAGCTCGTCCGTGATGGCCTTGATGAAAACTTCTCGTTTGCTCAGAAAGCGCCAAAGCTCCTTAAGCTGCAAGGCTTCTGCTGCTCCTCCAGCTGATGCAAGAAACTCTGCCTCGCAAGATGATAAGGCAATGGACTTTTGGGATCGTGACCAGGCAGTAATCAAGCAGCCATTCAGGAAGATCATTGCGCTGGCGTCTCTTTTTGTTTCGAGCTTCGATCACCTGCCCAATCACTGTCTGTCCAGGACTCCAAAGCATCTTGTTCTTCACTGTCGTCTTGACCTCTCAAAATCTCAGCCTTCTTACTCTTGTACTTGGTATAGGGGAGAAGGATACCGAGTGCTCGGTTCTCTTGAGGTAGAGGATCAAATGTTCGAGCTCAACTTCAGCTTTCCTTTTTGGGCTTGCCATGAACTGGCCAAGGTTGCGGACGCAATGCGGGATGTCTACTCTGTCCTGGGAAATGTAAAGCAAAGTGCCCAGCGCTGAGCGAAACATGTGTTGATCCCCACCTGCCAGCGCATCTTCAGGCGGTCCTTCAAGATCAAGTTGCGTGCTTTCAGGAGTGGCCTTTCCAGCTCTGTGGGTCAACGGGTAGAGCTCCACAAGACTTGGCGCATACTTCTCATGAGGTACGACAACTATGCCCTCTGCCGTGAAATAGTGTTTTTTCTTCAGGCATCGGATAGGCTCATCTTCTGCTTGGCCAGGTTGTGGAAGAACTCCCAACGCACTGATGACAAACTTGTCTCTCATCTTCTCAAGGAACCATGTGAGTTGTGTTGGTGCACCGGCAACTATCAAATCATCGACGTGGCACACCATTCCCAATGCTCTTTCTTTGTGGCGAAACAAGGATGGTAAGGAAAGATGATTGTCAATGCCAAGCTCCTCTAAGGCTTCTTTCAAGTGGTCAAACCACCTGGAAGCTGCGTCTCTCTGGCCTGGTAGGCATCGTGCAAGTCGCCAGTACCGCCTAGAACCATCCTCTCTTCTTCTGGCTTCCACCATGATGGCTGTTCAACCAAGGCGAGTTTGGGGCACCAGCAAAAATGCACTTTTGACGTCAGTGAAGCTCAAGCTCCACTGCATGATCACATGCGTTGCCTATAGCAACCTTGTAGCCGGCAAACTGGAAGTAGGAGCAAAGGTCTCTGCGGCGGTTTGGTCATGGCCTCTAAACTCTCCTGCCACGAACCTGCAGCGCCTTTTCCACCTTCCATTCCTCACTCTCCAATCAAAAACTTAACGAGTTGCGAGGATGCTCCCATTTGCCAAATCTTCCAGGCTTGGCTCTTCCAAGGCACCCATGTCCAGAAGTCGATGAATCTCTTCTTGACCAGCTGCGGCTTCTATCTTTGCAAGTTCAATAGGCCCCACCGGTGGAGTCCCTTCATCAATCACTTCATCCGAGAAAAGCTCCTCCAAGAAAGTCATCTTCTCAGCTGCCTCGAAATCAGCCACTTCCTGTTCTCACTGAAATTCATCTACTGGCCAACTTTCCACCTGCTGCACGCCTCCTGCATAGTGAGGTGCGTACAAAGAAGTTGGGCTTCCGGTTGGGCTTGTCCTCGGTGCCTTGGTGCGACTCTCTTCAACTGCATTGTCATACAACACCTGTTCGCTGCCAGCGCTTTGAATAGGTGGTGGGCGCCTTCTCACCAATGTCAGCTTGCTCACTATCAAGTCCAAGCGGCAGTGGAGCAGCGCTCCACGGCGTGGCATCTTGCCCGGCTCGGCTACCATGTCAAAGGTAGCGCGCGAACGGACCGCTCCCTTTTTCCAGGGAGATCTTGGGCCACTATGGGCCAGTGCGGTAAACATGGCTTCAAATGCAAAATGTCTGACAGAAACGAACAAAACACCATCTCCCTTAAGAGATACATTTTTACAAGGTCCTGTCCTGACCAAACTTCTCACTTCAGGGACCTGATGAGGATGGCACCAGGCGGGGGCCACCTCAATCCCCTGTCATTCGTTCATCATGTACAATTTAATAGAGGCGTCCTAAGATAGTGCAAATATAATGCCTGCTTCGCAGCTATTCCGGACTTGCCGAGTTGACCTCACGAGCCTTTGTCAACCAGTTCTGCAGAACGGACAACGCACCGGAAACTCTACATCCCCGGCAAAGAAACTGCTGTGATATCAGCGTCATCATTATGGTATGACTTGGTATGCCATCACAGAAAAAAAACAAACCAGGTGTGTGCAGTGTGTCTCGTAAAGCCTTTGGCCCAAGGCACTGCCCACTCATCCTGGCGCGGGAATTCGTCGGGGCCAACTGCGTGGCCAAGCTTCCGAAGAGCCTGCAGCCGCAAGAAAACAAAGCAATATCTAACAATCAGCTATTTATTTATATATATATAAATGCGCGTGGATATTAGCCCTGTACCGTGCAAGTAGCAAGGCTATCCTGTAGTTCCATGAGCGCTCAACAACGCAGCGCGTTTGTTTTCCGCTCACAGGGGCCTTGGGCCAAAGGTCAAGTCATCACATACGGTGTGTACGCGCTATACATACTATGGCCTGTTGCTGCACTTCCACGGACACTCCCCATGTATCCGATGCTATCAGCTTCAGATACACACAATCAAAATTCAAGGGTAAGTTTAGTATGCAGTAGGCTTCGAATTGTTGCCGCGAGGCCGAAAACGGACTCTATACTAACCAGCACTAAGGGAACTAAGCGGACTCTACATATACAAGGTGTGATTAGACCTACTGGCTGTCCCAATGAACTGTAAAAAGGGTAGTCGAATTAGCCACGCTCAGAAAACTCTCAGTAGATCTTCGTCATGAGATAGTCCGAGTTGCATTGCGACTTTCTCAACTATAAAATATGCTCATTTGATGATACAGATACTCTTACGACTGACAGAGGTTCATACTCGGTGAGTTGAACTTGTCTTAGCGTCCGGTATCCTCTTCATATTCTTCTTCTTCTTCTTCTTCCCAATCGTATTCACCCCAAGACCTAACACCTTCCCTGATGCGCGCTGCTCATCATGGAACGTTGTGTCATAGGTGCGCCAACTTGGATAGTGGCACTTGCTTCGTTGCCAAGTAGGTTGGGAACTTTTAGAATCTTAGAACTCTTGCCACCTTTGTTCTTGTCTTTCCCCTTTCCTTTGGGATCTTGACGTTGAGCTTCTTGTCGTTGCTGGTGGCTTGAGGACGCTGCCTCTGATGGTGGTGGCCTTTCAATTTCTGGCGCAACACTTGGCTGTGACGGCCTCCTCGTAGTCGAAGTCCTGGAAACCTTTGCTCCGTAGTCGTATTTGTCCGTGAGTCTTTTGACTTGCTCTGGTCCCAACATACTGTTCCAACGTTTGAAAGCTTGTTCATCGACATGTTGAATCATTTCCAGAAAGACGTTCTGCGCGACTGGCGGAAGCTTGACTTTGATCCAACGCCAATAAAATTGCCCTATCCCATTTTCCATTGGGTCTCGCGTACAAGATGTCAACGGGGTGTCATCGGTCAAACCCTCCCTGAAGTAGGAATACGAAGTGACGTTGTAGATAGCGTTCACGCACTTTCCAACCGTTCTTGACATTATAATTATACTTGGTTTCGCTCTTTTTATCTCCTCAACTTCCTTAGGGGCGGCGCCCAGCGGAACATTGAGCTCGTTGAATTCAGCTTTGACAGTCTCTGCTTTATAGCCAAAAGCAATCGCTTGCAGCGCAAATCTTCCTAAGGCGAGCTCTCCACGGAAACGACGCCGTGCCTCAATGACCGTGATCTTGCTCTTCTCAGCGAATGCGCGTTTGCTCGAATGTGGGGTCCACGGGCATGTCGTTATCGTCCAAACCGTCCGGACATTACATCAAGTCTTTTCGTCCTGAAGAGTTGCTTGAAATCAGCCATACCCAAGTGGTGATATGACTTGTACATTGGCGCTATCACTTGCGCCATACACCTCGTGATGTAGCGGTCCATCAAGCCTGATGACCCTTTACCTGCGTCCTGACTTTCGGATTCTTCTTGCAAGTCGAAAGGAATAGGCTCTGGAAATCTGCGCCATCTAGGTAACTCATCCTTGGGCAGGCCGATGTCGGGGTCCAAAGATTTGGGTCCTTCCGCATCGTATCCTTCATCGTCGGCTTGTCCTTGCTTGAGTTCCTGATCTGCTTTTCAGCGTCTTCGTCACTCTGTCGGTAGTTATTGGGCGTTCAACTGTACTTTTGCGAATGGCCCTACATCTCGTCGATCTCCTCTTCGATGTCTGGCGCCGAATCTCTATCCCAATCTGCCTCATCCTCATCGAACGAAGGGGTGTGAATATCACCTTAAGGACTTAAGGATCATTCTTGTTTGCTGCTAATTGAGCCATGATCTCATCAATGAAACTCAAATCAACTTCCTCATCTTCGTTCTCATCTGTAATCTTGGACTTCAGAACATTCTTAACTTCTGCCAACATTTCTTCATCCTTCTCTTGCTGTTCTTTGGCAGGACCCTTAATTGCTCCATTTCCACGTCCCTCTCGACATTGGCTTCATCATCATCGTCGTCGAGCGTGGATACAGTGTTTCTTACACCACGCCATGAATCCTTTACGATTTCTTTTCTACTGTGGACAGGGAGCAAACCTCCTTGATCTTGGAACATTGCGCACTCTTGTCAGCGTCTGTCCATCGTAGCGCCATTCATCTTGATACTTTTTGTTTGTTTTTGAGTTTTTGATCTCGAATCCTGAGCGTCAAAATGGTCAATCACTGCGCCGCAAGCGCGAATTAGTGCACCGTCCGGCCCTCCACTCCCACCACGAACAAGACGTAGTAGCGCGTTGACAACACGAAGGGTGGCCGGGCGGCAATTATTGAGCGGTCGCAAATGATCTGTAGCAAAAGCAGGGTCAAGAGATAAGAGACAACGACTCAAGGGAAAATTTTAAGACAGCGTCAGGAGTCCAAGGGACATTGGCTAAACCTAGAAGAGGCGTAGAGGATAAGCAAAAACTTGCTTTTTAGGTGGAAGAGGCTTTGGAGGCATGATGGAGACAGCATGCGCGTTCGACCCACTTGTGAAAACGTTGAGCCTGTTGTAAGGGTGTGCTTCCCTCGATTCCAAGTGCCATTGACAAGTACCCACGCGCTTCTGCGTGTGTCCGTGGGAACATATCATCCTGGTGGAAAGCGACGACAATAGACAGGAACCTTGACGACATAAATGCAATCTCCATTTGGAAGGTCTTGGACACCTTCCCAGTCATTCCCTTGGTAAACACAGCTCGCGGTAGTACCGGAGTTTGCGCGTAGGGGAAATTCGGGACGTCGTCGGTTCGGATCTGAAACGTTTGGTGGCGGTTTTATTGCGATCGACTGATGGAGGGACCATGTCTGCTAACTCCTGAGATGTCAAATCCGAAGGATCAAGAAGGTTGATAAGCATACAAGCCCGGCGCCAAGCAAGAGGCGTCCGAAAGGCCTTTGTATGGATGTCAGCACACATCTTGTGAGAGATCTCACACGTATACCATGAGTGCGTTCTAAATGTCGCATTGTAGGATTCCTTCCCGGCTCTTGCAACGCCAATCATACCTGTCATCGTGGAAGAGTACCTCCGGGGCTTTGCCGGTGGAAATTTGCCATAGGCCGATGGATGGAATACCATAATTGCGGCGAGTTATGTTCGCGGCTACAATCTCCGTCTCGGCCGGGAGTGGAGTGACCAACGCACCATTGACGTTTACTGCCTCCTGCAATGGGAAATCGAGTGCGCTTGCCTTGAACATGCACGTGGGATCCAGAGGTTGATCTCAATGTCTCACACAGCCTGCAAAGTCGGCGTCTGCGAATGTTCCAAATGATAGGTCTGCAATAGAATCGCCAGCCCAACCGATCATGCGCTTGTCTAATGCGCTGTTGACATAGCAGATTAGGTGACGCAAATTTGCATCATCATTCGGGGTCCATTTGTTGACATTTGGGGCCAACATGGTGATTGATCGAAGTAGATCAAAACGTGCAATTCTGGGCGCGTACAGTAGTTTCACGAGGAGACTGGCTGCGTGTGGCGCTAATGCTCCCACGACTTCCATCAACTTTTGCGACGTCATTCTTGGTAGATGATAGAATACTTGAGGTCAAACGCGTTAGAACACCAAGGACACGTTGTACATTCTTTGCCTGGAGCCGGTGCTCTGGCAGGATGTTCCTTCGTCTCTTCTGGGAGACTTGAGGTTGTAGCTGTTTTGAGTTTGGTTTCAAGACCAACAATATCGAGATATTTCTCAACGGACAACTTCAGCAATCCTTCCATGTTGTAGGAGACTGTGTTGACCTTCGTTCCATCATTCACCTCTTGTTAGCATGCATCCGAGGTATAATCCTTAGTTTCGTTCAAAGCATAGACCATCCTGTGGACATGGTTTCAGTTGGTCCGGCCAGCTTGAGATCGTCCACGTAGACTACAAGAAGGAGTTTCATGGCCTCATGAAAGTACACTGATGGCCACTCTTCACCACTTGGTTTAAAGCCAAGTTGGTGCACCTGTTTGTCACAGTATTGCTCCCACGTTGTGCCTGCGTCTGGATGCCCGTACAAAGCTTTACGAAGGCGTACCACTGGTCGATGATACTTTGAAGCATCAACATCATCTGGCCACGCATCTGACGGTAACTCGATCCAACAAGGCGGTTCCGTAAGATAAGCTTGGATATAGGCTTGGATTGCATCCGCAAGCTTGACGGAATGTCCTGGAATACATCCATAGAAATCTGCCCGTCTTGAAGATTTAAAGGAAGCTGGAGAATTTCACAGATCTTGAAAGAATGCTGATTCCCAGTTTTGGTTCTGCACTTTGTTCCCTAAGAGGACTCCTCTACCCTTGAATTTTCTTCGTTCATCACCTAAGCGCCTCTTGCTTCACATCGAAATACTCACGTATCACGGAGAAGTCAAAGCCATCTTGATTATGTAATCCTAGCCATTCATTCTGCGTGGAAGCTCTGGCTTTGGGATTCTTCAGCATTTCTGCACGGCTGACGGGTCGTGACACTGCTGCGTGATAAACAAACCTCGATACTTGTTCAAAGAGTCCGGTGGGACCTTCAAACACATCCTTCCCTCGAAGCATGGATACAGTGTTGACGCCAGGCATGGATGGACATGGAATGTGACGTTCCTTGAGGTTCTTAGTGAAATCTTCCGTAGAACACTTGTTGGATTCGCGTGGCATTGCGTACGCAATAGCTAAGCTGTCCATCACCTTGCGCGTGTTGCAGGTGGCACGTGGACCGAATCCATTCTCCACAGCAGTCCATTCTTCCCATTCTGTCAAATAATCATCGTTACTTGGT